TACTCTGCAGCTAATGGTAGATAGCAATTAACTGAAATGACTACTGTTGAGCACTGATGCTGCCATCAGTGAGTAGAAGAGGAAATCTGGAGCCAGCTCACAGACCCGGCGGCTTCCAGAACTCCCTGTAGTTTTCCCCTCTGGATTCTCTGTTTCATGCCCTTATCAAAAGACTGCAGAGAAAACCGCTTCATCTTGGTACTCCCTGGAGCTCCAGCTTGAACAAACACTTCTCAAGCAGCAGTAAGTGTGTGTCTGATATATATTATCTTATTATTTTCAGTTTGGGGGTCACTGAAAGGTCTCACTGCAATACTACTACCAGTGAAAGTGTGTGGAGTGGAAATTTTTTCCCCTCCAGATGTGCCGGTGACACAGAGCTGCCTCTGCTGCACCTCAGGTGCTTTGGGAGATGTGAAGGAAAGTGGCCCAGATGCTTGGAACTAATTCAGAAGCTGGGAAGGACTGGGTGCAGCATTCATTGTGTCATCTTTAGCTTTTCCTCTCCAAACTAAACAAGAGATTTTGTTTTCTTCCCCTCGCTAATAAGGTGACAGACACGTAGGTCAAAGTGCCCCAGAGGTTCTGCCTTCAATTGACTGGAGGGAAACCGGCTTCCATGTGCTGGTTTCAAACTACCAAAAGTAGTTCAAGTCAGGCTAATTTCACATACATCTTGATTCTGTTGTCACCCTTCCCTGCCAACCTGTGTTTGATATGGTGCCTTGTGGGGAAACTGCTTGTCAGGAGGGGATTAGTGCTTGGGTTGTGATGTGGGTGGGAAGCGAGGGGCTGTGCTGCAAGGAGAGCTGTTGGCAGGATGGAGAGGCATCACTGGCCACGTTGCACAAGAACTGGGCTTGGGAGTGAGCTAGCTGATATTTTTGTTAGTGTCCTCCCTGCAGAACGGAGCAGGTTGCTAATGGGTGTGTTGATGATACGGAGGTACGAGCAATGCAGGGGAGGATGAGTATTGAATAGGAGGCACTGAATGATTGATAGGTCTGGTGTCATGGCAATGTGATGATATTTAATGGTATGAAGTTGCAAGCACGTGTACTTAGGAGCTAGTAATAAGATTTTCTTCTCAGAGATGTGAGCTTATCGTTTGGGAGCAAGTGAGAGAGAGAGGCGGCTGTGTATGTGCTGGTGATAAGCCGACGTGAGCGCCCAGCCTGTTGTGAGGAAAGCATTGCTTGGTGAGGAGCGAGGACCCTGCCTGGGGCAGAGTAGCCAGAGAGAAACTGCCCAAAACACATTATGAGGGTGCCCCAGGCAGAGAAGAGCAGTCTAGTCTGGCTTGCAGTGCTGGCCCGAGGCTAAACAGGTATAAATTCACTGTGAATAAATTCGGGCTGTGCATCAGGAGGATCTGGGATAGCTTTCCTCATGGAAAGGGAAGACCATGAAAATAGTCAGACCCTTCGTCAACGCATGGGCTTTGGCACGGGGGAAGCGTGAGCTGGTTCGTGTGGGATGTGTGCTCCCTCCGTTGTGTCCCCGTGCAGCGAAGGGGAACTGTCACTGGGGCGTTGGAGCAGCTCCTACCTGGCTGTGTTATCTGATGGTTCGGAGTCATCAGCTGCTTTTCATGTACAGGAGCTGTGCAAAGGCTGAGAAACGAAATTACTAAAGGGGAATAATTCCCAGCTTGATTACTTTCTTTAAGGATGTGCTGCCAGTTAATTATTTAAATGCATATTTAGTTAGTTAAGCAAGTGAATATACATTTACATTGAGCACCTGATAAACCTGATCCCTTTTTGATTGGGGAAAAATGTTTAATTGCCCCTGTCATCAGTGCTCTGAAATTATATTTATTTTTATATAAAATTCAATCAGATTGCAAGTAAGATGCTAAAATCTGTTGCTCATTGATTCATATCAATAGATATACTAAGGGGTTTTTTACTACTGTTGGTGGTTTTGGTGGGTTTTTTTCTGCCTTACCTCTTGTCTAAAAGCTTGGGTTTTATTCCTGACTTTAGAACTACAGCAGCTCTGATTGGGAATGAGTTTTGCAATCGCCCCCACTAATATGAATCAAATACCTATAAATATATATTTTTTTTTTTAAAGGCAGTTTTACCTTGCAGGCAGGAAGAGGTTTTCTTGCCCTGTGAGCTTTACAATATTTAAGGCAGCAGACAGTCTTGTAGCTCTGTCTTGTGATATGATTATCTTCTGTGTAGCTTTGATGGATTTGTTCTTAGTAGGGTTAAGTGCTGTGAGCAAGAGAGTCCAAACAAGGCAACCCTGAATGTGCGAAAGGGAGGGCTGGAGTAAGACAAGTTTAATTGTTGGACACTGTATGGTCTCTTTTTCTGCCTGTCTGGAGCAGATGTGGGGTTGAGGTGCAAACTTGAGAGTTGGGATGTCACTGTGTCCTACTCTGGCTTCTGTGGCCCTATCTCCTGGGCTGCAGAAGCTGCAGCAGCCCTTGAGTTTCGGGTCAGTGCATAGCCCATAATCGTGCAGAATAGCTCTTGGCTAAAGGCAGTCTGTACTCTTGTTTTCCAGCCTAGCAGTAGGAGGACAAGTGCGATGTTGTCCATGCAGTGTTATTTTCTTGGAATATTTGTCAAGGGAGACACAAGATTTGGAGGAGAGTGGGGTGTTGGGAAGTCTAACTGTAGCTCCAAGCTTCTGAACACACGTTATGAGTAGTGTTGCCTCTATGGGGACCTATATATCATCACCCAAGTCCTAATTATAGTGCTGTTTGCACAGCAGTCGTGGTGATCATTGTTAATGGCGCTGGCAACACCGTGTGCTGTTTGCTTTGTTTCTTACTTGGCAGTGTTCTCAGCATCCCCAGTGCTCCTGGGACCCTCACTGCTTCCTCTGTATTGCTGTGTTGCTTGAAAACGTTTGATGCGTAAGAGTCCTTCTATTTTGCCTGTGTACCTTTTATAAAGGAAAAATTTTGCTCTTCAGTTCTTTCAGCTAGCTTGCAAGGCTGCCAAAAGGCAATCTCTGATACAGATCATCATTAGCTGCTATCTGACAGTGATGAATGACCCTGGGAAATGTTGTCGTTAAAGGCAATATCTGCTCTTCCTGTTCTTCTCGGCTCTTTCTGTCTTCAGATCAGTTACCCTTTAAAGAAGAAGTTAAGGAGGAGGGAGGGTGGCCCTGCCTTGTGCTGTATTGGAAAGAGACTTCCTCATCCCTGTCACCACATGGTGGAAGGTCACCCTTTTCTGCCTCCTATGAGTGTCAGAAGCAACATCTATTCCCAGGTTTGAAATTCGCAGCTGTCGCATTGATGGGGGCCGAGTGATCTGCCAGCGTTATGCCACTCACTCATTCCTCTGGCAGAATGCTGTGCAGATTGCCTAACTCATTTGTGGCCAAACATTGGGTTTATATTTGGCCTCTTACTGCTTTTAAAAAAATTGTTCTTTTTGTTATTGTTTCTTAAACACATATGTTGCCCTTTTTGAAGTACCTTTTGCAAAAGGATCTCAAAGTGCTCTGGGACCCACCTTCACTCCTGTTTTACAGGTGTGTATGTAACCCAAGGAGTGGAGGAGCTGCAGGACTTGCTTAATGCTCCAGCAGGGAACTGATGCTGGCACTTGTCACTGTGCACACCAGCGCTGTTCTGATTTCTAGATTACAACTGGTGTCTTCAAAACTTTGTTCTTATCTGGCCAGACTTGACATAGTCTGTCATCTCTATGCATTCAGAAAAAAACAATTTGCTATACGTGGTGTAGTCTTGTTTTGGTCTGCGACTTGATCTGAGAAGGTTGTCAGACCTTCCTGGCTGCTTGTGGTAGGCCTGGGGACTGGGACATGACTTCTGTGAATACTTGGAAATCCTGCATATCTGGAGGAATACGTAAATCTGTATGAGTGGTTTGCACTGATTTAGGGCAAGGCTTATGAACAGGGGCCACTTCAAGTGAGCTTCCCTCCCTCCCCATGTCTTTGTTCAAACCCACAGTCAGGGACATACTGTGCTGTTAGCTAAAAGGTTGAACGTTGCGGGAGAATTGCATTAACAAGCTCCAGCGTTATAGCTGTGGAAAAGCAGCTTGTGTTCTGCAGTGTCTCTCTTCTGAACCATACCATATGGCCAAGCCCAGTACCTTCAGCTTGTCAGCAGTAATTTGCTGGCTCAGGAGGGACTGAATCTTCTTTTCTGGTATTAAGACATGAATAGTAGGTGCTTGCTGAGGTGGTACAGGCCCAGGCGTGTTACCTGTGTGTCAGCAGAGGGGAAACTTAATAGCTGGGGGATAGAAGGCTGTGTGTTCTCAGATGGGGATGGTTTGGATCCCATTTAAATGGGCAGGGATGTGCTCTGTGGGATCTGCTTTCTCTTGCTTTTCCCCCGTTGGAGAACTGCTCAGGTCATTTCTGGAACTTGCAAAGCTTCCCTGGTGGCAGATGGATGAGGCGTCTTTGGAGCCTGTCAAACACTAATGAGTGCTTCTGCCCAAAGGTGACCCTCTTTTGGGGGAACCCTGAGCTCCTCACCTGACAAGGAGAGGTTCATAGCAGCAGAAGTTCTTCTGCTCTTGGAGCCAACAGGCACCGACAGGAATAGCTGATGCGACCACAGAGGCAAAGTGCTTTGGGAAGAGACCAGTTCAGAAAGGAGGAAGCTGCTTGCCTCTGACCATCTCGTGGACTCTTCTAGGGCCCTTTTTCTTTGGGCAGTGCTGAAAACATGTGAGTGAACCAAAACACTCTCTTGTTCTGGGATTTCAGCTGTGAACTCGCCTATCTGCTACCTGAAACCAAGTGGATGAAGGATATTGTATTTCTTGGAGGAAAGAAGACCTTACTTTCTCTAGGTCTCTGGAAACAAAAGCAATGCTCCTTTCCCCTTCCCTTTCAAGGGCAGCATATGGAAAGAAAAAGAAGGATCCCAGATAAACACAATTCAAGATTCCAGCAATTTAACAGTAATGTTGCCCGTGCAGATGGAGTGAAAACTGGAGAGCAGTTGAAAACTGGACAGCAGTGCACGTTGTACAGACATGAAGATGCCATCAGCATCTTCAAAAGCCTGGGTCCTGCCTGTGAACTTAACAGAGAGACCTGTCTGCAAAGTTGTTCCAAGTAGACCTCAGCCCCGCTGCTTTCTTCTGCCAGTGGGCTTGGAGCTCTGGGTTTATGTTCAGAAAATGCGCAACCTGCAGAAGAAGAGGTAGGGGAGAGCTCAGGCACGTGCTGTGGGAGGGACTGGGACTGTAACTTTAGTCTGTTGTTAGTGACTGTTTTCCCTTTGCCAGTCAAGGTGGTTCGGGTTTGCTCACTTGAACAGCAGATTCCTATCTTCTGCCTAAATCACCCTTCTAGTCTTTTCTTATGGACAGTTGGGCTACAACCTTTGGAAGCTGTTGGACGTGGAGTGTTTTAGTGTGCTTGAGTTTGTTCATTGACCTTTAGCTGGTTCCTCTGCCCTTGGCATTGTGTTTCTGCGTGCTTTTAAGCCTGCAGTGACTGACCTGCGTGCAAAGTTGCTTCCCAGAACTAGCTCTGACTGTGGGGCCCCAAGGATGTGGGAAGTGCAGGTGGGTTTTAAAAGTGGGTTGTGTTTCTATTAATAATTGCTATCCTTGACTTTTGTCCCTTTACATGGCAGCAAAGGCTTGGCAGAGTGCAATGTGGAGAAAAAACCTTCTCTCCCTTCCCCTTGTTTGCTTAGGTCCCAAACTGAGCAGTGATGTTAATTAGATAAGTCAGATACTCTGCAAAGCAGCCTGTTCAAGGACAAACAGATTTTAATAAAAAGCTGTGTGCACTAGAGGGTCATGTCACAGCATTGGGCCTGAATATTTACTATGGGAACACCAGGAAAGCACCCAGAGAGGGCAAGTTTGTGTGTGTGTGAGTGTATCAGAATGCAGTCCCCAAGGCACAAACTTCACTTCTGGTTATGTTTCCTCTGGCAAATATGCCACCCTCGGAGTGTGTAGCTGGGTTTTGTTGCTGTAGGGTTTTCTGTGTTGCGTGGATGGGAACCCTCACTTCAGGCTATTCAAATTGCACAACAAATTTGATCCAAACTAGACTGCAATATCATGAATTAGGGAAACTGGTCTCCAGCTCAGTTTTTAGACTGTTTACAGTTGAACTCAGTCTCTTAAAGAGAACCTGGGTATTGGGAAGCGTTCTGTTTGTGTTGAAAATTAAATTGAAATTATGCTGAAATTTGCTTCTGTGCCCTCTTCTAACTGGAACTCATCATTAGTTCCTGTGATAGTAGCTCATTCCTGCATCTCAAATCCTCTCAAGATTGACCTCTGTTAAGCTGCCTGAACTTAATCTTGCTGATTTGAATATAAGGTGTTCCTTGTCTTCAGTCCCAACCCTTCTTTCAGCTGTTCAGGAGGTATCAGCAGAGACCTGTCAATACCTGATGATGACACCAGGTAACTGCTCTAGTGATCTACAAACCATAAATGTGCCCTGAAACTGATGGAAGTTTGGTATGATCCCAAAATGGGTCCCTCTAATTCAACATGCTGTAAGCAGAAGCTCATTCTTACTAATTTTCACATGGTCTAGCAAGAGGATCAGTAGAGAGTAGTTAAACATTTGTAGTATTAACAGTCTTAATATTTTTATTTCCCCTGTCAAACAGAAGTTGAGGCAGGGACTGATGCTGCACTGGCACTGCAAGCAGCCTTCTTGCGCAAGTAAAATAGCCACTCAAATGTAGGCTCTGCAGTGAGCTTGAAATCAAATATTTGTGTGGGAGTTTGAGGTGGGAGCTCAAATGAGCTGCTTCACAATCCCGTTCTCCCTCTTATTACTCTGGTTTTGGGGACAAACGAGCAGTGAGACAGGAGAGGTCATGAGTGTGTTTGGAGGGAGAGTCTGAAATCATCTCTTTCGCCTGTTTTTTTTTTTGTTTGGACAGCTCTTGTGGGTTGTCCTGCTTTAGAGGATGCTGTTGGGCTGCCAAGTGTTGGGTGTTTGGAGCCATACAGAGCCAACTCAGCAGGGAGATTGCCAGGCAAATAGGGTTGGATTTTAGACAGTTTACGCACTGCTCATAGAGGAACTGGCTTTGTTTCCTGGCAGCTGAGAAAACGTCATTCTGCCTGTTTGTGGGGAAAATGTATCAGGATTGGTATTTTGTTTGTGCATCTCCCCGTGCCCTTGCGCAGCAGGGGGAGGCAAGCGGTGGGTGCAGACCTGGAGCGGGAGGAACTCTGCCCTGAAGTCAGCATGCACAGGTTGTGCTCTCGGGGAGAGAAGCCAAAGCAGTGCAGAGTGCCCTGGCTTGGCCAGCATACCTCAGCCTTGGTCTGCAGAGACCCTGGTTGCAGGGGCTGGGCCTTGGCTCGTCGTTGGGGTGGTTTTGGGAGAAGCATCTAGGGGTCAGCAGGGAACTGCTGCAGGGGATATCAACTGGTCTGCTGCTCTCGCAGTGGTGATGAGCAAGTTGTTCTCTTGGTCTGGGTACCACAGTCAAACTTCCTGCAAGTACTCTTTGCCCGAGAACAGAATAGAAACTGCCTTTGGACATTTATTATCTTTTATCCGACCCTTGCTTTTCTGACTGTGGACAAGTGAGCTATGTTTTTTTCTGAGCAGATGTTCACCTTTGACCTAGATAGTTTTGACTTTTAAAAACACATTGAACAGAAATGAAAAAGCCAAAAAGAGCAAAGAGAAGCATCTGAATAGAGGAGCAGGAACATGCTGTGTCCATCCACCTTATGAAGGGGCTGACTTTGCAGCAGGCAAGACGTTTCCAAATGTAAGCTTTCAAATGCATGCTCTGTCCCTTCTGAGAACTTTGGATACACATGGCCTAACAGGGATGGCTGTAACTTAGAGAGGACTTGGTGGAGCACTCAAAGGAGCACGTTTCCTTTCTCTTGAAGCAGAGACTGGTCTTGCTCCTCTCTGTTGGCTTGCAAAGTGCTTGTGCTGACAGCATGGCATGTGCCATTGCCAAAGGTGTCGAGAAATGCAAGGGAGGAAGGCTCGCCTGGAGGCTAATGTGCAGAGCGCCTGTGGAAAAAGTGACAGCAGGAGAGTTAATGAAAAGCAGACACGGAGCACTGGAAGCTGCTCAGCCAAGAAATTCTGCACAGTCCAGGGTTTTCTCTGGTATTTAATAAAAATGTGTTACCATTTGGCTAGTCTCTCTGTTACCCTGGGGAAAGCGGTGCAGGCATGAATAGCCTGGGTACGTGGCTTCTGCGCTGTGCACCACCTGGAAGAAAAACAGATGCCATGTTACTCTTGCGATATGAGTGTGTGTCTTGAGAGCCGGGAGCCCTGGGTTTCTTGTCCAGATTCCTACTGGGAACCCAGGGGCTGCCTTTGGCCACTCACAGATGCTGTCTGTAAATCTGGATGCTCCTGTGTCTCATGCCTAGGAGCTTGGTTTCTCAGAGGGGCTGAGTGCCCCCCATGTCCACTGAAAGCTGGTGTCCACACCGCTGAGGTGTGCTGGCTGTGTTTGTCCCTGAGTTATTATCGCCCAAACAGTGTTTGACCTGGGGCTGGTGCCTTGGTGCTTGGGGCTGAATGCAGAGATGCAGCTGCTGCCTGGAGGGTGGCTCTCTCCAGGGTTGGTTTTTTTTTTTAGTTTTTTTTTTTTTCCTGATGCAGTGAGTAATTAAAGGTATACATTGAAGTAAACTTTTTTACTGTTGCATAGCAGCATGGGTGCACTGCAGTCTAATTCCTCTAGAAATGATGGTCTTGCTTTTGGCAGAATGGAGGCATCCTGCCTGGAACTGGCCCTGGAAGGAGAACGCTTGTGCAAGGCTGGGGACTTCAAAGCTGGGGCAGCCTTCTTCGAAGCAGCGGTGCAGGTGGGGACAGAGGACCTGAAGACTCTCAGTGCCATCTACAGTCAGCTGGGCAATGCCTATTTCTACCTAAAGGAGTACTCCAAGGCCTTGGAGTACCATAAACACGACCTTACCCTGGCCAGGTAAGCATGTCAGCAGTGCTTCATCCTAATTGGATTCAACCTGTCAGGGCTTGACTGAAGGCAAGTTCTGTGGGGTCTGAGCCCAGCAGCCTGAGGGAATCTGCCCCAGAAATAAGCATCCAAAACTAGCCCTAAGGCATGGGGTGACTGTCCTGTGGAGAACTCAGGAGGCAACAAGAATGGGCTGGCCACCTTCAGAGCAGGGAGGTGGAGAAAGGGATATGAATGTGAGGAGGGTGATTGGAGCAAGAGCAGGGCAGTGTCCAGTTCTCCTGTCCCCAGGTACTCGTTGTAAGTACACCTGAAGTCATTAGAGCAGCTCACCTGAGACAGCAAAACAGGGAACAAGGATCTGTCTTCAAAATTGAGAGAGCCTGTATGAAGCACTCCAGTCAGGTGTGTGTGCTGGGAACTGCTGGATGTGGTGTACATACCATGCAGCATTTGCTGCAGCTTGAATTCTGCCTCCAACAGTTGGTGAATGAAAGTCTGTGAGCTCTTTAACACCTCTCTCCCTTCCTCCTGTCATCTTATAGAACCATCGGGGACCGCATTGGAGAAGCCAAGGCAAGTGGCAACCTTGGGAATACATTGAAAATACTCGGGCAGTTTGATGAAGCTGTCGTTTGTTGCCAGAGACACTTGGACATTTCTCAGGAGCAGGGAGACAAGGTAATTGATTCATGGCATCCAACAGGAAATATTTCCTAGCTTTAAAAATAATCTGTCTGCAAGTCGGGAAATGCAATATGGTGAAGGTGGGCTTTGGAAGGAGGTGGAGTGTAAAGCCCTCCCTTCTGGCTGCCATCACAGGACTCACGGCTGCCATGACAGTGAAGATGGGAAAAGCAAATGTGGGCCTCCTGGCTTTGACCATCCCTGCCCAGCAATGGAAAGGTCCATATTGGGATGTGAAGTGTAATACCTTGCTGCTCCCTGTTCTTCCTCCCTTTTAGGTAGGTGAAGCCAGAGCACTGTATAATATAGGAAATGTTTACCATGCAAAGGGAAAGCACTTATCTTGGAGCATGGCCCAAGACCCAGGCTACCTGCCTCAAGAAGTCAAGGAGACGCTACAGAAAGCTTCAGAATATTATGAGTAAGTATTCAAGCTTGGCCAACCCTTCCTCCTGGAGGGAACAGGGCTAGTTGGGCATCAGTGATTGCTGAAATGCACACAGGTACACCTTTGTTGATCTTATCCTGCTCAGATCATAATCTGCATTTGTGGTGGTCCTGTTCTGCTGACAGCTTTCAGGGTCTGCAGGTTAGCTGAGCTCTGATAACCATTAGGCTAATGATAGCTGCATGGGGTGCAAGATGACAATTTTTACTGAGTCCTGTTGGAGGCATTTCTCATAGGCGGGATTTGTTTCCTGGGCCACTGAGGATGTGGGAGCTGTGGAAGATGTTTGTTGCAAAAAATGAGACTGTGGGCTCAGCGCTGATGAAAATCAGGCCACGGAATGAGATTTTGCATGTTGTAATGAATTAGGAATACTCCCCTGAGATGCCAAGTTACGATGGCAAATTAATCTCAAGGAAGGTGAGAGAGGGACCGTGAGCTTTTATAAAATTAGAGCTAAAATTCATCCTGGCATTGCCTTGGTAAAACTCACTGTACTTTGAAGTAAGATCACGCAATAAGTTCAATAGTGTGCTCTTTCTCTGAGCTGTATTTGGAACCTAAACTACTGGCTCCTGTAGCCCCTGCTGCTCTCTGCTGGCCTTGATGAGAACAGATCCCTGTGCATCTCCATTGCTGGGGCCACGAACAGAGACTCTTCTTCACCCAAGGGAAGAAGCTTTCACTTGAAGTCCCAGTTGTCCTTCTCGGGGATCTGTAGTTTATCTTGCTTGTAACATCCTTCCCTTTCCTAAAGAGTTTCAAAGATCACTCTGATGTCCCGTACAGGAAGGTTGTCACCAGACTTTTGGGCTGATGAGTTTTGCTTCAATAATGCAGGGTTTTTTCGTAGCCTTTTTAAATGAGGAGAGTGATAAGATCTCATATCTGAGAATGTGATAGTGCCTATATATAGCTCACCATACTCTTTCCAAAGAATGGTGCATGTAGTATAGCCAGTGGGTAAATTTGTGCCAGCTGGGAGCTCTGTGCTTCCCTCTGTGTGCTGTGTGTGTAAAGGGGGGAAAAAACCAAGGTAAAGAAATGCTGGGAAGCTCTATGAGCAGAGCCGTGGCATAGGACTGTGGATCTTGCCCCTGTCCTGCTGTAGGTAATCTCCTTTTTTCTGTGCTCCTGGTTCTCCCCTGTACAGTGAGGTGGCCGTCTCTTATTTAATGTGGGGTCTTATTAGACCATCGGTGTGTGAACAGTTCCTGTACACAGCTGCAGATTGCCTGAGGTCGGGAGAGCAGCAGAGACTTACACCGCTGAATTTGCACGAGCTCCCAGAGCTACAGCTAGCATAGATCGCCAGACTTTCATCTGCCAAGTGATGCACAGGACAGGCAGTTGGGGAGGGGAAATGCCTTCTCCAGGGTTAGCTCTCCTTTCTTTAAGGGGCAAGTCTTTTTGGGGTGTCTCCTGCAGAGAGTGTTGGCCGTGTCTCACCAGACGTGCTGCTCTGACTTCTTTCAGGAGGAACCTGTCCCTGGTGAAGGAGCTGGGGGACAGAGCTGCACAGGGCCGTGCTTATGGCAACCTCGGCAACACCCAGTACTTACTCGGCAACTTCAGTGAAGCTATAGCCTTCCACAAGGAGGTAGGAAACCGCTGTGCTTTTCTGGTGTTGGGGGCTGAGACTGGCTGTTGGGGAGCAGCCTTTCTTCTCGCCTGTTGTACTAACTCATGCCAAGCAACATCATGCTCCAGTCCCCATCAGCACCTAACGAGCGGTTTGAGGGAAGGGTGCTGTTGGCTTGGAAACCAAAGGAGGTGTCCAAGGGCAAATTGCAGCTGGGCCTAGCAAGGCTTTTCTTCTCTTAATTTGTATCAATCTAGATTTTAATAAATGCAAGCCATGAATTTAATTAAGCTGCTGAAAGAGCTGTTGATGAGGAATAAATGTTGCTTGTAGAACATAATAACTTTCTGTAAAGCTTTACAGAGGGGTGAGGTGACACAGCCCCTGCCCCAATTCAAATGCAATTCAGCTTCTCTTTCAGGGTATGTGTGGAAGGTGCTCAGTACCTTGGAAAGTCAGCCTTGTCACAGCTCTTCTGATTTTTTAAATGCTAGGGGACAGCAGCCAGCAGTGCTGTGGGAGAAGGGGCTTGCAAAGGGGTGGGAAAACTGTGCAGTATTTGGGACCAGGAGGAGGTGCTGCAAAGTGGAGGGTGAGAGGTGGGGAAACATGGGGAGCCAGGGGCACATGAGAGGAGAGGCAGGACTGAGGTGCAGCTAAGGGCAGAAGTCTGGGGAGCAGCTGCAGCACAGACGGTGAGATGGAGTGCACACATGTGCATGTGCATTCTGTGCCACAGCACCGTGCAGAGTGACAGCCTTGTTCCTGCACATTAGTCTGCTGATCAACCACATCCCTTCACAGCCTGACCGACAGCTCTCCGTTCGTCTCTTTGTTCAGCGGTTGAAGTACGTGCATAACTCCTTTTGCACTTCAGCTAGAGAGCTGTGTACTGACCAGGCTGGAGTGGGAGTTAGGGAAGAATGCACCATTATTCCCACTTTTCCAAAGGCCCTTCCTGATCCTGAATTGCAAAAGAGGGAGAGACTTCCTGCTGCATCCAGCCCTGATAGGCATGTGCACTGCTACCTTGCTGGGTGGGAGCTTTGCAAACCAAGAAGTTAAATCTCCCGGAAAAGCTGCTGTGTAATAGAAACCTGTCAATGGCGAGCCTGTACTCACTAACCTGTGTCTGCTGCAGCGCCTTGCTATTGCTAAGGAGTTTGGGGACAAGGCAGCCGAGCGGAGAGCGTACAGCAACCTGGGCAATGCGCACATCTTCCTCGGGAGGTTTGACATCTCTGCTGAGTACTACAAGTAAGTGCCAGGGGCTAAGGCAGACTCAGGGCACGTGATCCCTGGAAATTTTGACCTCTTGAAGCGAATTCCATAGGCTCAGGGGGATGTGACAAGGGACCTTGAGGCCAGTTGCATGTGTGGAGCTCAGCAGTGGCAATTAATACAGCCACCTGACAGCCTGCAGCGTGTTACAGGCACCAACTTCAACGCAGCGCATGCCGAAGTGGTGACTTCCCTGTCACCTTGCAGAGGTGCCCTGCAGTGACCAGGTCTCTTCATTCCCACCTCTTCCATGCAGGAAAACACTCCAGCTCTCCAGACAACTCAAAGACCAAGCAGTAGAAGCCCAGGCTTGCTACAGTCTTGGAAACACATACACGCTGCTTCAAGACTATGAAAGAGCAATCGAGTACCATCTAAAACACCTGGTGATAGCACAGGAGCTGGGAGACAGGTAAAGGACTGCCTCAGGAGATGGTGTCTCTGCTCTGGTGGGTTCACAGCACTGACCCTTTCCTGTTGATTTATTGTTCTCTACTGCTGGGTTAAACAACAGTGATATGTATTCTTGAAAGTCTTTAGAAATCTCGCAGAACCTGGGCCTTAGTCCAGTCATCTGTCAAAAACGTACCATGATTGACACCTTTATCATGTTATTCAAACCTGGAGATTGTGCCCTTAATGCTATGTCTGTGTGGGCTGAGTGAGATTTCAAGAAAACACCTTGTATTCAGTGCTTCGCGATGTGGCTACTGCTGTTTTATCCCAGAAGGGCCCCTCTAAAGCTCCCTCCAGTTCACAAAAATTCTATCTTCCATGGAAACTGTGTGGTTAGGGCATACATACATGCTACTTGCCACTTTGTCCTGTTGCTCTGAGATGATGCTGGAAACTTCCATGTAGAAACAAATGATGTTACATAGAGTATGTGGAGATGATATATTTTGCTTCTTGGCCTCACCCCTTCTTCTTTAGGAGGTTTGGCCTTTTAAAAATTTTTTTTAATATGTATTTTTTTTTTAAGAGATGTTGGCTCCTTTCTCCTGGATACTCTGTGATCCTGGAGCCTTCTTGCCCCTGAAGTGACTTTGAAGCCACCTTGTTCAGTGTTACTGTTGATGGCTCTTGGGAAGCTGGGTGTCCTCCACTAGATGGAGCAGAGACATTAGAATGGGAGATCTGTGGCACTATCTGGGCAGTATGTGCTCAGAGAAGGTATAATCCCACCCAAGGGTGAATCATGCTGTGGGGGTGCAGGCCTGTGGGCTCCTGCATTTCTGGGAACACACCCTATGAGCAGAAGGTATTGAACAGGGTGACAAGAAAAATGTTTAATGCTGATCAACCCGCCCAAACCTCTGAAAAGGGAGTTGCAGTCATGCTGAACCTCCCCCTGCGCCCCCATGTGCTTTTTTTATCCCATCACCCCCCACATCTGCTCGTTTGCAGAGCTGAGCAGGCTCTGATGAGCAGTAGGTCTCTGCCTGTTTGTGCAAACAGGTGCTGAAACCTGCTCCAGAGGCACCTGGGTGTCTGGCTTGGGCTGGGGGTGAGGGCTGCCTGGGGCAGGTTTCACATTCCCCTGCTTTCCCTGGCTTCTGAAAACAAGCAGCAGCACCCTGGAAGCCTTGTGGAAATAGGTCAATATTTGCTTGGCTGTTGCATGCAGTTTCAGTTTGTGCGTGCATCTTGGGTGACGCAGTGCTGGTATTTAGCAGGATAACGTTGCATGCCCACAATATTTCCTCCTGGCCACGTTCCTGTTAATCTAGCTCTGGACTGTTGTTGAACAAAAGGGCTGGATGTTACGTGCCCTCTTGATGCACTGTGCCTCTCCGGAGAGGAAGCCTTGCTGTGCGAGGTGGAAGCGGGACAGGAGCTCTGGCTTCTGCTCTCAGGCTGGTGCCCACAAATGAAGCCAAACCTTTCTGGGACCTTTGCTACACTGCTTAGCTTTTGCCACTGTGGGTGCAGGCCCACTTCTGAGGCTATTGCTCATCCCCTGATCTTACTGACCTCGGCATAAGAAGAATTTAAGATGTACAGTGCATTTTGGTTTAGATTTGTAGAACCTTTCTGTAGGTGAAAACATAGCTAGGAGGCCTGGCTGTCAGTGCTCTCAAGGAGGAGGCTCTGAAAGGGCTGCTGTGCTGCTGGGTTTTGCCCAGCATTTCTGTGGTTGAAAGTTTCCTGTTTTTCAGGGTGGGAGAAGGAAGAGCCTGCTGGAGTCTCGGAAATGCCTACGTCTCCCTGGGGAGCCATGAACAAGCTTTGCACTTTGCAAGGAAACATCTTGAAATCTCCCAAGAGGTAAGAGAAACTGGTTCAGATCAGAGGGAACCAGTCCTCCCTGTTGAGAGACTTTATTTTATGCCAATAAGTTACATTCATGTAGTTCTTCTCTTGCTATGACTGCTCTGGAAAGCCCTTTTCTATGTGCCATTTCAATGGTGTCTTTAGGAACTGCAGAGCTTGGCTGGAAAATATTCTTTTTATGGGAGGCTCCTAGCCTTCCCCTTAATTACAGTTAGTACGTTTGCTGTACATTGCTCTTAACCGATGCTTCTGGGTGAGAAAGGATCTGGTGACTAGTTGTCTGGTCTGCTGGCCAAGGTGTTGTGCACCCAGCTGGTGTGAAGGAGCTCAGATACATCTTGGCGTCCAGTTTGTTAGTAAGACCCCCTTTTCCTGAGCACAAGGCTGTGAGATTCTGACTGAGGTGGACCTTGTGATTCTAGCTGTGGTCTGGCTTGATTTGCTGACAAGTTAAGTACCTGGAGAAAACAAGGCCAGCTTCTACCTGGTGGCTGGGTGCTCTAAACCTGCTGTATTCTGCAACAGAGTGTACATGTGACAAGTTATTTTCTCTCCGTGGAGCTGGCAGGGGGTCCCAGCTGTGAGGTGGTGAACTCTAGCATTGTCCTAATGCAATCGATTGCTGACGCTGGACGAGCACAGCCTGAAGCTAGCCCTGTACTGCTGCTGTGCCATTTGGGGTTTCATGTGTACAGCTACTCTGTTTTTCAGAGATGTGCTTGCCCAGCTAGCTGCAGCTTTCCTAGTGCAAGAACATATGGCGTTTTTAGGTGGCTCAGAAGTACAGAAAGCAAGAATTCCATTGTTTGCTCTTTCCAGTGTGTTATGAGGAAATTGGCTGTGGCCTCTTTAGTCTTCCCCAGATGAAGAAATTGCCCTATTGAAGCACTAATTGAAATCACCCTATGTAAGTGCTTTGCGTGTTCTCTTGCCTATTAGGTTGGCTAAATCTTGGGGTAGGGCTGACATACTGGCCTAATTATGTATTTAATTATACTTATCAGACATGCAGAAGAAATAGTGTTCTTTGGTCCTGTATGTTTTGGGACAAATGAACTTTTCTAGCTTTAGTCTGTAGGACTGTCGCAGTGCGGGGCTGATTACTCAGAGGCGGGTGGTGGCTCATCCATGTGCAGCGCAGATGAGGGGTGATGGGAGGACTGGAGCAGTAGTGGTCCTGGTGACTTCTGGGGGTGGAGGAGAAGCCCAACGGGGTGGGGGTTCATAGTGTTCTTATTCTGGGGTGATGGCCGTGATTACAGGGCATGTCAGGAGTAGGTTACTCATGGGAGGGGGATAATAAACTCCCCCACATCATTAATTATGGAGCAGTGCAGAGACTGTCCATTTGTGAGGAGAGCCTGCATTAGCTTCTAGCAGCTAGTGATTCTGTTATAAAGCTGATGTTTTATTTTAGCTTTGGGAACCAAGCGAGCTGCTTGTGCTGTTGTGGCAAGCACCAGCATTTTTCCCAGGAGAAACCTAGTGAAGTTAAACCTTTGCACACTGGTGTTTGTAACTCACTTCCCATCACCCTTTCCCCCTTCTCCCCCAACAAAAATCTCATGGTGGCATTTGAATCCAAATGAAATCTGCTCAGGGTAACCACATTGGAAGCTGCTGCAGGGTGATCAGAGGTTACTGAAAAATTTCCTCTGAAACAGCTGGAGTGAAGGATGTGTACCTAAAAAACCGTTGGAAGCTGCCCCAGCTGTCAGACACTGCTCCGGAGTACCTTTTCCATTTCTGCATGTGGCAGGGGGCTCCTGGAAAACTGAGACATCCGAGCTGAGGGCAGAAAACAGGGCTCTGCTATGGTGTATGTGTTAGGTCCTGCCTAGGATCGTTGTCCTGCCAGTGTGTTCCTCTGATGTTAATAGGACCTTGGAGATCATCTGGAATGAGTGGGAGTCAGGGAAGCATTTAACAGAGTATCAAGGACTGCAAGACCTTACCAGGACGTAGTGATTTCTCTAGAGATGATGTCAACAGCAAATCTCTTGTAATTGGCAGGGGATTTATGCCTGATGATAAGCCGTTTGATCTGCCTCCCTTTACTAGTGCTTGGGGCTTCATCATAAATAATGTGGGGATTTATGATTTTGTTCTAGGATGGCTCACACTGCAGTCTATCTCGAAGGACCACAAAAGAGCTGTTGCAAGACATTTAATAGGGAGTCAGGCCTCTCCAAGGGAACAGCCAAGGTCTTCCTCTGTAACAGAGGCTGCTGTTCCTCTGAAGATTGGAGGCTGTTTCTGAGAGACCTCTCTCTGTTCGCTGGTGATGTGCAGTACAGTAACTTCTTGTTTGGTTAAACTTTGAGGAGGGCCCAGTAGTGTGTCCTACGACTCCCCATTTTAAGTAGCTGGAGCTGTTGGACAGATCTCTTCTGGAACATGTAACATCAGCTTCCTTGGCCTCAGGCCGGCGAGAGATGGGAATTTGGAAAAATTTGGACTCTAAAAGATTTTGGAGTCTTGTGTGGGTAGATCACTAGGAACAACTCAAAGCTGTATGGATCTGAGCCAGGAGAGAAGGGCTTTCGGAGCATCCAAGCCCTGAGTGTGACACTGCCCACGTGGCTGATAGTAGTGTGGCTGTCTGGTGCTCAGTAACTATGGAGATACTTGAGGAAGGGGGGTGAGTTTCGGGGCTCTTTGCCAAGCTGTATGCGGCTACAGGACAGACCAGGCGTGCACGTTTACCTCTGTCCCAGTTCTGTGGCCGTGGGCGAGCTGTGCCCCCTCAGTTCCTTGTACTGAACTCCACAGAATTGTGTTTTGAGGTGCAGCCGGTGCACAGCACAGCATGCGTGGACCTTCTCCCAAATTATCACTGAGGAATAGTTTTGGAGAGTTGCTTTGGTGTTGAAAGCTGGGCTGTATGGTCTCTCAGGGTGTCTCCAAGCTCTCTTTTGGCTGACTGTGCGTTTGCCTTGATATGGGACTGCCAAACCCTTTGCTAGGTGCTGTTTGCTTAGAGCATGTTGCCTTTTAACCAGCTGCCCTGTTGGTTTTCACCCTGTAGATTGGGGACCGCAACGGTGAGCTGACAGCACAGGTGAACATGGCCCAGCTCAAGTCAGCCCTCGGCTTGGGCCCCGGGGATGAGGACATGGGTACAGCTCATCACTATTCTGGGTATGAAGCACAAGGTGAGTTTCTGGGCTTTTGCTGGCACTGAAGGGCCTCATGAAGGCTGTGGGATGGTGCATGGGGATGGGAGGTGTTTGCAAGTTGGCAACACGGGAGGAAATATGAATGTCGGATGAGGCTATTGAGTGCCTTTACCGGAAAGGAGACTGTGGTATGTTTGCTCTGTATTCTCCATAAGCTGCAAAGGCGGGGAAGGATCTGCCCCAAAAAGGGCACAGAATGAGTTAATGGAATTAATCTACATCGGGAATGAAATTCCATGCACCAAGCAGCAAATCAGCTTTTGTCTCTCTTAAAGCTCTGTAGGGCCCTTTTAACTGATTTGACTGATAAAGCAAGCTTTCAAAAGGTGACTGGCAGGGATTTTTGGCTGCTCTCTTCTGATTAGCACCCAAGGAACAAGCCTACAGAATGGGCTTGAAGGCAGGTTGTGAAGCCTCACTACGCCGGGTGCTGTCTCACCGCCCCTGGAACACCTGCAGCGATGCCCAGCTTGGAAACAAAGATGTGGCAAGAGTTGGTCACAGCAAACAAAATGCCTTTACTTACCTCACTGGGCCCTGAGTCCTTGCCACAGTGTGCTGCCAGCCTGACGTGTGTCCCCAGCTCGGGGACCGTCTGTCTGTCCTGGAACTGCCCACTGCAGACATTTGTGGGTGCCTGGCACGGGGCGCTTCCAGCTGGTTGCTCTGTCGCTGCGGACAGACTTATTAATTCACACAGACGAAACTGCATCCCGGGAGGTGCTGACTGATTAAATATGACCTTGTTAGTGCAGACACGTTTTCTCAGGTGGTATGTTCTCTTTCCTGTTGGTAGAACTGATGTAGAGAAGGTGATGCTCGGTTGAGGCACAGTGTTCTGGGAGGGAGGAAGGCTGGCTGAGTGCGTTTGCTCTCTGTATTGATCTTGAAGGTGTAGTCTGCTATGTCAGTGCTAAAGCTTTTCCTGAGATGTCAAGCTGTGGGTGAGGGAGCCAGTGTGCCCTGCTGTGCCCCATCAGGAGCTGCAGTGGAGCTGAGCTGTTTCCCCAAGGCCGTGTGGGCCACAACGGCCACCTCAGCCTTCTTTTGCACGTCAGGTCCATCTTTATAACTGCTGGGAAACTTATTAACTAGGGCCTTCTGTTCGTTCCTGGCATCTCGTTAGGGGCTTCCTTTTGGCAAATGATTTTGCTCCGAAAGGGGAACGGGAAATTAACCTGGATGTTGCTGCTGCTCCTGGGACGGAGCGGAGCGTGGAGGAAACAAGCTGATGGGGTGCCAGGTCCCCCAGGCTGGGGAGTGGAGGGGTGCAGGGGGAGGGCAGCGCCAAGGACCTTACGGGCATGAGAGCACTGCGTGCTGAGACACATTTGACTGGATGCGTGAGCATATTGTGTGGGAGAGCTGCCGCAGAAGGGGTCGGGCCAGATTTATCTGGGAGAGGGGCTCTGCAGCTCTGACCGTGTTGCATAAGCAGCAGTGCACAGCCTTTTGTTAGCTGAAAATAATTGAAAAAACAGAGCAAGGGTGTCTCTGCTCTCGTAACACGCTCCTCATTGAATCTGGGCTCGAATGCAAGCTGCTATGGACTGGTCTGGTGTCCTGCTGCAGGCAGGAGAGTGTACCTTGGGGGGTAGGGAGGGTCTTGGTCCGAGCAGAGCCCTTCGTGGGGAGAGCTGAGCCTAACGTGTGGCAGTGTCCCCTACGTGGGTGGTGACACAGCCTCACTGCCTCCCTGGCACAGCCCCACTGACCGCGTCTCACAGCATGAGGCTCGGAGAGCGTGCGGCACTGAAGGGTTGGGATTTTTGCTTAAGGCACATGGCGAGCCTGGACAGTTACTGGGCTTAACTCAGAAGGTGAGGCAGGGCAAGGCAGAGCCAGGCTGTGGGCTGCTCACTGCCCTCCAGTGATCCAGATGTACTTGTGATGTGTTAACATCTGGAGCCAGTAGTGATTTTTCTCTCATCTGACAGAGCCAGAGCCACGCTAGTCTGCGTGTGATTGCTGGAGGGTGGGAAGAGGGGCTGAGCAGCCGTAGTCAGAGGCCGTGTTCGCTGGAGGTTGCGCTGACCTCGTTAATCTGTGGTGCCGTTGCTCGCATTCCCAAGGCTGGGGCTGTTGTCGACAGAAGGACGAAGTTCCTCCTTCTCTGGAGGAAGACCAGTAAATGACTGGGGCTTGCAGAGCAGGAGAGGGATGGACTGTAGGGCAGGTTCCCTTGCGGAGTAGGGCTTCCCCAGTCGGTGGGATGTGGGGGGTGCTGCCCCTTGTTGTGTCCTGGGAACCTGCTGGGGAGGTAAAAATCAGCTGCCCCCTGTGTTTCGTGGGCTGGGGCTGTGCAGCAGCATCTTGCTGGAGGAAGGGAGTGTGAGTGTTGCAGTGCTTAGCCACGTGCATGCTTTTACACATGCATCTCGGGTGGGAAAGGTGCTGTCCCTGTTGCAAAGAGATTTGGGGAGAGAATGGGTCCACAGGACAGCCTGTGGAGAGGAGCCTGGCTCCCTTGATTTCTCGTTAGCTTTTATCCTGGCTTCAGCTCTCTTATTCTGAATTTCAGTGGAGGATGAGAGGCCCTGAGCCCTTGAGAAGAAGGGAGATGTATTTCATGGCTGCCAGGAATTTTGGTACCCTCCTGTGCACCTATTAAATGATTAGAAAAGCATAATTATTTATATTATTAATAGCAGCAATTTACAGCAAGAGGAACATCTGTTTCTGTTAATAGGAAACAGGTGAGAGAGTTGAGATTCAAGTTGACTTCTGAACCAGCCATGCCTTTTGATGTCAACAAATCTCATGGTGAGGAGAGCTTTCAATTTTTTTTTCCCTTCAGATTATTTTCCTTGCCTAAGGTTATAAAATGGCTGCATATTCATAAAGATGCTAAAATCATCTGATAAGGCAGGCTTGTTATAAAACACATTAATTTTATCAAGCAGGTAGAATAAAGTTTCATAGCAAATTTGAGTTCTGGGAAAATCTGTACTGTTGGCTGAGAAACTGTGAGCCAGACCATCAGACTATGATGTCCTTCGCAGGTTACTTTTGCTTCTAAGTCTTGGGAATTGCCCTCTGCTGGGGAGCTGGGGGGCAGAAGGCATGTCTGATGTTTTCCTCTGCTGTTTTGGCTCCTCTTGCTGAGCTCTTTGCGATTTTAATTAATATTCTGAGAGCAATTGGACGTCAGAAGACAAAGCTGGAGGCCAGGGAAGTGGGGCAGTGCTGCAGAAGCCTTGTGAAAGCAACGACCTTGTCAAGAAATGCAAACACAGAGAGCTTAAAGCAACAAACTGAAAGAAGCTAGAGAGTAGCTAAAACATGAAGCAAACAAACAGAGGTTGTGTGTTTCTCCAAACAACCAAAAATGTGGCCCTGAGAAATGGTCTTGCCCTCTTTCACACACCGCAAGTTAAGAACTGAGTACTCGTAGGCTTTCGCCTTTGGAGAGAAGTAAGGGAACTTGCTGTGGCTATAAGGGAGTTGTTTTGTGAAGGCATCCATCGACAAGAAGCAGTGCTGCCTGGTGCTGGGAGATGTCCCAGGGTGCAAACAGCCAGCGCAGCCCTCGGCACTGCTGCTGGATACGGAGTGGGATTGCTGGCTGCCTGGGCCACCCTTGCTGGCTGCCCTTTTCCAGATCAGTTGGTTCGGGCTGAGGTTTCAGCATCTGCTCAGCAAGGAGTCGGCTGTGCCTAGTCCTCTGCAGGTAGCAGTGAATCAGGAGCACTGAGGGGCTCACCCACCACCAAGGGGTGGAGGTGCTGGACAGAAGGCAGAGAGCAGCCCGGCCCAGTCTCAGTGCTTCTCCAAAGTGAAAACTGACTCTGGGGGTGCTTTTCTTTTGCTCTCATCAGCATGTCAGCCCCAGTTGTCATCTCTGATGCTGCGGTAGTGTTAGGAGACACTGAGCAACACCTCCCCTGGCAAGCTGGGTGTAGGTGGGGAGCAATGCAGGTGTTCCAGAAGGCATTGGCATGTAGATGCTTTCAGAGCAATGTAAGCTGGCTCCTGGCATGGTTTCTGTGCTGTTTGCAGTACGCAGACACTGCTGCCCAGCCACGCTCAACAAGCTCTGAGGGCAGGAAAGGACTCGGCCGTGAGCCTGGCTTCCCCTGCTCTCTGCACATCTTCTGCTGAAAAAGGGTAGGTACAAGGCTACTCCGCTTGTTTGGTGTTCAGGAGCTTCCATGCTGGGTACTGCTCATCCCTGCATGAGAGGCAGCCACGTTTCAGGTATTCTTAAGTGGTGAAGTCGGCAGCTGAGCCTGGGCAGGCATGAAATCCCACTCCTTCCTGAGCAGTGATCAGCTCTGTGTGGCTTTGAATGTGGGTCTTTGCATCCTCAGTGCAGTTTTGAGCTTGCCTTCTTCACAGGAATCTTTGAACCCTTGGATCAATTAGACAGGGATAGAAGAAATCTGCTTTTATGTTTCCCAGCCTGTTTGTTTTTGTTTGTTTGCTTGCTTTAAATGTCTTTGAAGTCTCTAAGAAGTGTTTAGGGCTGCTGAAATATGCTAGATTGACCAGCCCTCTGTTGACGCAAAGCAGGGAGGCAGCAGCGCTGCTAACCCGTGCCAGCCTGTGCCTTGGGCAGGGATGCTGCCCAGAGACAGGGATGTTCCTTTTCCATGGTTCACTCAACCCTCCTGCGAAGGACTGTGCTGGGTCACACCCGAAAGACATGGCCCTCTGAGACCAGCATCTTTCTGACAGTGGGACAGGCCTGCTCGCTGTGGCTGTGATTTCAGTGTCTAGGTAGTGTTTGCCTTCCACTCGGCAGATGAGTACAAGGGTCACATCGCTAACGGCTTCAGCATGGAACCTGCCCTGTTCTTTACTGGTCAGACTGAGTAAGCATAGTAATTGAAATTGCTTAATATTAAGTATTCTCAACTATATTTGATTTTTCCCAAGAGGCAATGGGCTGCAGCTCAGCCTTTTTTCATTCTGAAAATGAAAGCCTGAGGCCGTGCTGGTTAATTGTACCTGCTTATGCAGGGTTTTGATGGATG